GATCAGTGTAGTCGATTAATCACTTGAGCATGGAGAATAGAAGTATAATCAAACAATCAAAGTTTTTTATATTACTGCAAAATTGTTAAGATCATTGCGATTGAAGATTTTTTGAGTAAATCTTTAAAAATTTTAAGAATCAAAATCTATATTCCTGAAGGCCAGATTTTAATGTAGAATGAATGGTGGTAAGAATTTTAGAACATCTTGACGACCCGTAATTTTTAAATAAAAATTTCTTTCTAAGCATTCAGTTTGGCCCGAATTAGTCAAAATAAGCTCAAAAGCATCGCTGGTGTATTATTGACTTGCAAGTGAATAATTTGAACTCATGTGAAACCGTATTCATGTAAACCCTTAGCTCGAGATGGGTGACGCATGTACTAGGCGTGTTTAGCTATTAAAAGGAAAAGAATATCAATATTGCAAGTGAATGAACCATTTCAGTAACTGATTCGATCCACAAGAAATCATTCTTATACAGATAAAAAAAAGATGAAAAACTTATATTTTTAACCTATAACATTTTTACTACACAAATCCTTGTTTTTTTCCCGATACAATCCATGTAATTTCAATTTAAGATACAGCAATTAAAGTTTTAAAAAACCTTCATGTAAATTCGTATTCATGGATCACTATATTTAGACATTTGGCGTCTACACATCAAGACACACGAAATGTTGATATATATTATCGAGTCCATGCATTGTTAATTGTTTATTTTTAGACGTATTATAATTTGGATAAAGATTTCAGTATGATACAAATGAAATATAAGAACTTGAGTCAAATCGGTGATCATGAATTTCACAGCTAATTCCTCTTTAAAGGAGAAAAGGACTTATTTATGATTTTCTAAGATCTCCACTTAAGTCGTTATATAATGGATTCCGGAGTTTACTCTGTAGATCTTTAGTAAAACATTCCATAAAAATTATTCATCCACAATCTTGGGCTTCTTAAAAGAGTTAAATACACGTGAGTGTGTTGTACATTGATTGCGCCGTTTAAAACATGACCAAACAGCTTTGGTCATTTAGATCGTTTTCATATTCGGTTCCTCTGACTTCCACTTTATTCATTTTCTGGCATAACCCTCTACTGCATTCATTAGTAACCTGGAGTTCCTCTTCCAGTGGATAGACTGTGGAATTCTATAGTTCGGCCCTTTGACTTACAACTCCAAGTTCTTCATTGTTAACGATGTCAAGGTCTTCAGTTATAACATGACCATCAGGACTATAATTGCAGTAGCATATGAGTAAACGGGAGTTTTGCATTTTACATTTCCTGAAGTTAAAGGTCTCTAATGCCTTCTTGCATTTGTAAAAATATGCAGCAATTGGTTAGTTGTAGGTATATGAAATGACAAATGTAGTTTTATCTTTCAATAAATCCGGTATTGTTTTCTGCAGACTTTTTGGTGGAAACAATTGCATATATTGATGTTATCCAAACCCCTGTTAGCAAATTCTTCATCAAAATGACTTCGTTTTTCATCATCTTTGGAATTATATGACACTGGTAATGGGTTAACTTTCAAGTACTAGTAGTCAGCACTTTTTGTGTTGAAATGAATTAGCATTGATATGGTCATACTTATGAAATAATTGTTTACAAAATTTTGAATTATTCTAAAAACTACATATGTTCTACCCTAGGAATAAACTTCCTTACATGTAGCTGTATTTGGCAGAATCTTTCGGAATTTGGTTGCTCAGTGCTATTTAACTTCATACAATTATTTGTTACGTTTGGAGGACGTGTTTTTCAACAGACTGTCGGAATTCCAATGGGAACCAATTGTGCCCCTCTTCTTGCCGACTTGTTTCTTTATTATTATGAGGCTGACTTCATACAGGAACGTCTTAGGAAGAAAGATAAGAAGCAATATCCTTTAACTCTACGTTCCGCTATATAGATGATGGTCTCTCACTAAATAATACAAAATTTGGTGACTATGTTGAACGAATCTATCCCATCGAACTAGAGATGAAGGATACTACAGATACAGTTAAGTCTGCCTCATATCTTGACTTACATCTAAAAATTGACAAAGAGGGTCGGTTGAAAACAAAACTTTACGACAAAAGAGATGATTTCAGCTTCCCAATTGTGAACTTTCCATTTCTATGTAGCAACATTCCAGCAGCGCCTGCATACGGAGTATATATCTCACAATTGATACGATATTCCCGGGCTTGTGTTTCCTATCATGATTTCCTTGATAGAGGATTGCTGCTCACAAGGAAGCTATTAAGCCAAGAGTTCCAAATGGTGAAGTTGAAATCGTTCCTTCGTAAATTTTACGGAAGACATCACGAGTTGGTTGACCGTTATGGAATAACCGTTTCACAGATGATATCGGATATGTTCCTTATGTCGTAACTACAATACCCTTCCCTTTTCACGAATGGGACTCACCGAATTAAACTATTTACCGGATTTGTAATAACATAAGCAACACGACGGGTGCCACATGTGGAGCAGGATCTGCTTACCCTTCCGGAGCACCTGAGATCACCCCCAGTTTTTGGTGGGGTTCGTGTTGCTTAGTCTTTAGTTTTCTATGTTGTGTCATCTGTACTATTATTTGTCTGTTTGTCTTTTTATTTTTGGCCATGGCGTTGTCAGTTTGTTTTCGATCTATGAGTTTGACTGTCCCTCTGGTATCTTTCGTCCCTCTTTTAATGATGAGTCTTTTGTAGATGAAACGTGAGTCTGGCGTACAAAATTATAAGCCTGGTATATTTGTCCGACTATCATCTATTGTTGGTTCCAGATCTATGGCAGATTTCTGTTTTGGAAATGAATTAGCACATACAAGGAACTACGTTTTTTTCTACAAATTCTCAATTTGTTTTTATTCAACGTCATCGACAACACCTTCACAGAATTTATTTCAACACAATTGTTGTTTGACGCCAGAGGAATGAAGTTATCGGATTGATATCACATGGGAAATTATCGGTTTTTATTTCAATGAGAAATCAGGATATTTCCTTTCAACCAATGAGTATTATTTATCAAAATTATGCGTTGGACGTTTCTTACTTTTTTTTTAGCTTAAATTAAGTCATGGGTATATTTTACTGCATACAACAATCGTTCAAACCAAGTGGGAAAAAACAGATCTCTTTTTTATTTATAATATTACTATATTTAACTATTTCACGAGGATTAAAATTATGCAATATACAATGTACAATAATATATTGATGATTCAATGAACTCATAATTAAATTCAGCTACAAATTTGCAGGTGTTAATAGTCACTTTTTAATTTCTCAAAAAAAAAAATTCGAACGAAGACCGATTTGGAGCTTGGAGTATTGAATATACACGTGTCGGTTGTTGAAAACTAAATGTGGACCCAAAGATGTCTTAAACAAAAATTTGAGCCATTTCTGTGGATCTGGCTGTTAAATGACTGAGATAAAACCTATTTCACTACTCATTTAAATCACATATAAATCTCAAATATGCAAAACAAATAACTATTTGGTGCGAGTAGAGCGCTTTTCTTCATTTACCTTCATCAAGACCACTAAAACAAATGATTGCAAAGCCAACGTTGTATAATGAATATTTTAATACTTCCGTCATGTATCACCAAAACGGTCTTAAATAGATATTTTATAGTGTGTCTTTCTATGTTGTGATGTAACACTATTTTTTTCAGGTTAGGATGAAGGTTGACGCCTATTAAAACGTTGCCCTAGGTTGTTTTACGTGTTCGTTTTTATTTTGTGGTTAGTCAGCACTTCGGTGTTGACATGAATATCAATTGTATGGTCATTTGTTTTATATACTAGGGATTATCTTATCCCAGGCATTGATAACCTAAACCGCATTTGGCACAGCTTTTTAGCATTTTGGGTCATCAATGCACTTTAACTTTATACTTGTTTGGCTTTTTGACTGTTTTGGTCTGGGCATCACTGATGAGTCTTATGTAGATGAAACGCACGTCTGGCGTATTGAATTATAAGCCTGGCACCTTTGATAACCATAAGCATGTCGAAATGTATTATTGAATTGTTTATTTGTGTATTTCTCTGTTCTTAATGTTCTTGCATTTATTTGTACTGTAGTCCTGTCATGAAATGTTGTCCTTTAAGTGTTATATTTAACATTGCCATAAAAGCACGAGGTTTGGCTATGCACAAAACCAGGTTCAACCCATCATTTTGTTCTTAAAATGTCCTGTACCAAGTCAGGAAAATGGCAGTTTTTATCTTATAGTTTGTTTCTGTGTGTGTTACCGTGTCGTTTGGTTATTTTCCTCTTATAGTTGATGTGTTTTCCTCGGTTTTAGTTTTTAACGCGGTATTGTTTTCTCTCAATCGATTTATGACTTTCGAACAGCGGTATACTACTGTTGCCTTTATTTAAACCCGCTGCAGTTGTTTGCCCCTATCCTAAGTCAGGAACCAGATGTTCACCGGTTGTCGTTTGTTAATGTGGTTCATAAGTGTAGCTCGTTTCTCGTTTTTTATATAGGTTATACTGTTGGTTTTCCTGTTTGAATGGTTTTTCACTAGTCATTTTCTTCCCTTTATAGCTAGCTGTTCAGTGTGAGCCAAGGCTCCGTGTTGAAGGCCGTGCTTTGACCTATAATGGTTTGCTTTTACAAATTGTGACTTGGAAGGAGAGTTGTCTCATTGGCACTCATACCACATTTTTCTTATATCTATTAAAAATAACAAATTTAACAGGTCAGCTTTGTCTGAGGGCGTTCGAATCTTTCTTTCTTTTAGGTAAATGATTAATCGTAAAATGCTAAAAGTCCGATTCTCGAGAAGCTAGAAAAATTCAAATATGTCCAAAATACGCTGATAATGACAGTGAAAGCTGATGAAATGATTAAACGTCATCAATGTCCGTTATTTGTAACATTGGAGTACTATTTCAGCCAAGCTGCATTACTTGTAGACAACACAAAAATGAAATTATGAGGAGTAAGTTTCTAAATGGAATAAATTGATAGTAATAAATATGAGAAAAACATACTTATTGTTCAATAAGTTCAAATTCTTAAACAAAAGCGTAGATACATATTAAAATTGTATACAATATGATAGTAAAAATGAATTACTCTCTTTAACATGACAAAGACTCAGTTTTTTGTGATTGTGAAACTTAGTGGAGGAGTTAAACTGAACTTGTTTACCAAATGTCAATTTGTTATGGATTTCTAAAGGATATATGCTTACATTATACACAGGTCACTTTCCATAAGTAAAATATCTAGTATATTTTTTTGAAAATAAGCATGTGTCTTCTTAAAGTAGAAGCATGCTTCTGGATAACTTCTTTGCAAAAGTAAATATACAGCTGTGCCAATAGCGCATGATACGCCCTTCTTGTGCACATTCATCAATCACAACCACTCCAAAGTGTTAAGTTTTTTGTAATTTGATCCAAGCAAACTAAAGCTAGTACATTACATTTTAAAAAATTGCCTTCTATCTATATGACTGTCAAAATGACATGTCTGATTTTTTTTTATTGTTATTCGAACGGCGTGTCATGTTATCCATTCCAGCAATTCTGCAGAGTTGTCAGTAAATCAATTCAACGTAACTCAAGTTATGGCATAATATGTGAAAGAATGTATTTAAATCTGACATTTAAAGTCCCGTAACTCTGGAACGGAAACACGGAAAAATTTAAAATCAACAGAGAGCGTGGTTTTATCAAACCCAGATATAAGATAAAGTTTTGAGGAAATCGACCCAGGCTTGGAGTAAGTGCGCGATATGTGAAAAATTGTCTTAATATAAAAAAAGAAGAAGTGGAATAATTGCCGGTGAACCTATTCATCTGAGTTTATATGACGAAAACAAAAACTATTAAAAGTCACCGTACGGCCTTGAACAATGAGAAAAAAAGCAGACTGTATAGTCAGCTATGGCAAGAGTCTATTTTCATATCACTGACTTTTGACTCTAGAATATATAATTTTTCGACATGTTACCTAATCTGTGGTAGCACACTGTGGTAATTGGCCAGGTAAGAGTAAAAATCAGGCAATCGGTTTCAATTTGGAACAACATAATTGTTTCTTTTGTTTTCTATACACGACAAAATCATCGGAATACTTTTTCGGAATTTTTTCCCCAAATAGTACTGATTGTAAGCTTCTTTTTATTTTTTTTTCAGTTTCTCTTACTTGACAGAGTACCAAAACTTTCTACCACAGAGTAGGTAAACTGTGTAAAATTATAAACTACGGAGTCAAAAGTCGGTCATGTGAAAAATAGTCTATTCAAAATGGAAAAATAGTCTATTCAAAATGGAAAAATAGAAAAATTAAAAAATCTCAAAAGGGAGATAATTCTTACCAATCCAAACGATAATATAAGGCTTTGAGTAAATCAATCCAGGCATACTCGAGTGTGCGCGATGTTTGAAAAAGTGCCTGAATTTAAACGGTTTAAGTCCCGTAACTCTGGAAGACTATAAATAAAAAAGAGCTTTTTTCCGTCAATTCTAATGTTTCGTTAAAATTACTTGAGAATTGGTCAAAGCAAGTCTGAGTTATCGTACGAAATGTTGATGGACGGAGGAAAGGACGGATTGACAGACGGTGGGACGTACGGACGGACGGGTATTGGTAAACCACAATACGTCCCGTCTGCGAGGAACATATAAAATATTTTTACAATACCACTGCTTACCAAATTATTTTCAAGGTATATTAAATTACGTTATTGATCTCTTTACAAAAGCAACATGTGTCTCTGTTAGAAGTATATTCTTTAAACTAATAAGACTGTCTGTCTTCATAAGTATTATTATCATTACACAATTGTCACATTTAACGATATCAGCAGGTGTCTTACTAGTCACAATGATGTGTGGTGCGGCTTTAGGTAGAACCGTATGTCCATAAGACACCATGGCCCGCTGCACTATTCTATGTTAATATTCAGTAAATAGTGAATTCAGAGTAATATGGCATATCATTTCCAAACTGCACCTAACAATAAAGATATAGAGTAATTTTCTGGCTGATTTTCCCTTACCTTCATTGTAAACTATATAACCCTGCGAATTTACTAATTTCACAATATCACATTTCCATGTCCGTGAACTATTTAATCGGTGTCAAAATCATTATTTGATATATTATTTAAAAAAAATCTATTTCATTTAAACTACTTTAACCAAATGTTCTACCCTAATATAGGATGGACTATTGGACAAAAGGACGGACGAACGGACGGACCAAAAACACAACCCCCCTCGATCCACATTAACGTTTGCGATGCATAAAATCATCATTCAATACATACATATGTAAAAAAAAAATGCCATACAGTGTTTTTACAGTACAGGCATGTTTCATCACAATGATATTACATTGTTAAGGAATTGAAGTATAAACTGTTAAAATAGTAACATATTGCTTGAGACTTATTGCAAAAAATGACAGAATAGTACCATTTAGCAAAAAAGTGTCCTCATAATACGAGTAAATATTTCCAAACAATATTGTATATTTTGTCAGCTGAAATATTTAGTCAATATTACTTTCCGTTTAAAAAATCAGTTAATGTAAAAAACAATCATCAATTAACATAGATATAGCGAGAAAATTCACAATACATTTGCTCGTATGGGTCTAAGTCCTTCCTGGAAAGTGCGTCAGCTATTTCATGCTGATAGTTGATCTTGTTTCTCCTTTAAAGCATGAGTATTAATCATAGTAACTATTTCATACTGACAATTCAGTGAGGCAATTTGTACTGATGTCTTTCCATCATTGTTACATTTTTTGTAGTTAGCTCCTCTTTTGAGCAAACTTTTTACTATTTTTGTATGACCATGCATACAAGCCATCATTAAAGGTGTGTGACCATACACATCACATTTATCAAAGTCTGCTCCATTATCTAACAGCATTTTAACTATTTTTGTATGACCATGTTCACAAGCCTTCATAATAGGTGACTGACCAATATGATCACTTCGGTTGAAGTCTACTCCTCGGTCTAATAACACATTTACTATTTCAGTATGACCACATTCACAAGCCATAAATACAGGTGACTGATCCTCGTAGTCGCATTTATCACAGTCTGCCCCTCTTTCTATTAATATTTTAACTATTTGTATATGGCCATGTTTACAGGCCATTATTAATGATGACTGATCATGCCAGTCAATTTTATTACAGTCTATGCCTCGATCTAACAAAATATTTCCTATTTCTGTATGTCCATGCTCACAAACTTTCATGAGGGCTGACTGATCTTGCAAATTCAATTTATTAAAATCTGCTCCTTTTTTTAATAACAAATTCACTATTTCTGTATGACCATGTTCACAAGCCGTCATTAAAGGTGACTGTTCATTAAAGTCCACTTTATTAAAGTCTGCTCCTCTGTCTAACAGTATATTTACTATTTCTGTATGACCATGCTCACAGGCCTTCATCACAGGTGACTGATCATTTTTATCCACTATATTACAATCTGCCCCTCTTTCTAACAACATCTTTAAGATGTCGGTATGCCCTTTTTCACTAGCCCTAACTAAAAGTGAGGCATGTTCACTGTCACTATGATTACAGTCTGCTCCTCTATCTAATAATAACTTCATGGCTTCTTTTTTACCATTGTAACAAGCTATCATCACAGGTGACTGACCAAAAACGTTGTTTTTAACATATTCTGCCCCTTTATCTAATAACATGTTTACTATGTCTGTATAACCAAGTTCACAAGCTATCATTACTGGCGACAAGTCATCAAAATCCCGTCTATTCAAGTCTGCTCCTTTGTCTATTAACAATTTCACTATTTCTGTATGGCCGATTCTACAAGCTTTTGTTAAAGGTGTGCTGCCATTATAATCAGATTTATTACAGTTTGCTTCTCTGTCTAACAACGTCCATACTATTTCTGGATGACCATTTTCGCAAGCTATCATTAGAGGGTACTGATCTGATCTGTCACATTTATTAAAGTCTGCCCCTTTGTCTAACAATTTCTTTACTATTTCAGTGTGACCATGTTCACAAGCCTTCATTATAGGTGACTGACCCTTTCTGTCAATTTCTTTGTAATCTGCTCCTTTTTCTAACAACATACTAACTATGTTTTCATGACCTTCTATACAAGCCTTCATGACAGGTGTTTGACCGGATCTGTCACATTTATTTAAGTCTGCTCCTTTCTCTAACAATTTCTTCACTATTTCTGTGTGACCATTTTCACAGGCCTTCATTAAAGGTGACGTACCAGTTCTGTCAATTTCATCATAATTTGCTCCTTTGTCTAATAACAAACTTACAATTTTTTCATTACCATTTTCACAAGCTATCATAGGTGATAGACCCCATCTGTCACATTTATTTAAGTCTGTACCTTTCTCTATTAACAAACATGCTAGTTTCTCATTTAAGTGCCCACAAGCCTCCATCAGCACAGATCGACCATCTTTGTCGCGTTCTTTAAAGTCTGCTCCTTTGTGTATTAACATCCTTGCAATTTCTAAATAATTATTTTTACAAGCATGCATAATGAGAGAAGAACCGTCAGCATAACTAGAATTATAGTTTCCTCCTTTATCTAACAAAATCTTTACTGCAACTGTATGACCATGTTTACATGCATGCATAAGAGGTGACATACCTTTTTTGTCGCAGTTACTATAGTCTACCCCTTTTTCTACCAAGATTCTAACTATTTTTGTACGACCATATTTACAAGCATACATTAGAAGTGACTGTCCCTTATTATTGCATTTTATAAAGTCTGCTTTTTTATCTAATAACATCTCAACGATTCCTGTATAGCCACGTTTACAAGCGATGATAACCGGTGAACAACCATTATTATCACATCTATTAATGTTTGCTCCGCTGAGTATCAGCATCCTTAAAACCTCTTGATGACCATATTTACAAGAATACAGTACAGCTGACCAACGCCATTTGTTACATTTATTATAATCTACTCTCCTATCTAGCAACATTCTTACTATTTGTCTATTACCATGTCTACAGGCAAACATCAAAGGAGACTGGCCCTTTTTGTCACATTTATTATGGTCTACTCCTTTGTCCAAAAGTATCTTGACAAATTCTGTTAGACCACTTGAACAAGCCTTCATTAGAAGTGACCTTCCCTTGCTGTCATATTGGTTATAGTTTACTTCCCTTTTGAACAACATCATTACTATTTCCATATGTCCATGGATAAAAGCCTTCATAAAAGGTGACTGGCGGACACTGTCCAATTTATCATAGTTAACTCCTTTATCTAACAGCATTTTTACTATTTCTCTTTGATTATGAGAACAAGCAAATGCAAAAGATGTCAAACCGTTTAAGTCAGACTTATTATAGTCTACCCCTTTTTCCAATAGCATTCCAACTATAGCTGTATGTCCATGCTTACAAGCCTTCATTAGAGGCGACTGACCTAAGATATCGACCTCATTACAATCCACACCTTTTTCCAGCAACATCTTAACTATGTCTGTATGACCATGTTCACAAGCCTTCATTACAGGTGACTTATAATGATTATCACATTTATTATAGTCTGCTCCTTTATTTAACAGCATCTGAACAATATTTGAATAACCATATCGACAAGCAACCATCATAGGTGATTGATCCTTTTTGTCTGATTTATTATAGTCCACTCTTTTGTCTAATAGTATTTTAATTATTTCTATATGACCATGTTTACAAGCATACATTACAGGCGACTTACCCCACATGTCACATTTATTATAGTCTTCCCCTTTGTCTAACAATAAATTGACTATTTCTGTATGACCATATTGACATGCCTTCAATATTAGTGCTATACCATGGTTGTTACATTCATTATAGTTTATCCCTCTGTTTAACAACATTCTTACTATTTCTGCTTGACCATTTTCACAGGCTGTCATTACAGGTGATTGATCCAAGTTGTCACATTTTTCATAATCTGCTCCTTTGTCTAACAACATTTTAACTATATTTGAATGACCATGTCTGCAAGAAGACAAAAAAGGTGTCCAACCCTCATTATCGGATTTACTAAAGTATACCCCTCCATCTAACAACATCTTTACTATTTCTGTATGACCACGTTCACAAGCCGTCAGTAAAGGTGTCCAACCATTATTATCAGATTTATTATAATATAACCCTCTGTCTAACAACATCCTTACTATCTCTATAAAACCATGTTCACAAGCCATAAGTAGAGGTGTCTTACCATCATTGTCACATTCATTAAACTTTGCACCTCTATCTACCAACATTTTTACTATTTCCTTATGACCGTATGCACAAGCCTTCAATACAGGTGACTGACCATCAAAGTCACATTTATTACAGTCTGCTCCTCTGTTAATTAACATTTGGACAATTTCTGTATGACCACCTTCACACGCCATCATTACAGGTGACAATTCTTCATCGTCAAACTTATTACAAACTGCTCCACTGTGCAACAACATTCGTACAATTTGTGTATGCCCACCTTCACACGCCAACATTACAGGTGACCGTTCCGCATGGTCACATTCAAAGTTTGCTCCTCTATCCAGCAGCATTTCAACTATTTTTGTATGACCATGTCCACAAGCCTTCATTAATGCTGACTTACGCATTATGTCACATATATCACAGTCTACTCCTTTGTCCAACAACATTCTAACAATTTTTGTATGACCGTGTTCAGAAGCTATCATTACAGGTGACTGATAATCATATGTACACTTGTTCACATCAACATCATGGTTTAAACACCACTGGATCAAATCTATATCTCCTATTAAACAGCAATGTAATAACACAGTGTCGTATTTATTATAACCAACAAACCAATAATCTGCAGATCGTTGGCATTTATTGTCAAAGGTATGTGCCAGTTGTCTCTGCAAAGTTGTATCAAGTTTGGTCAAATGAAACAAAAATTTCTTTCTGAACTGAGGTATCTTCATATTGATATTCCTAAAAATATCCTGAACTTTTCCAATTGACCAATCATCAATCATTCTCTGTATGTACATCTGATGATATGTTGGTGGTACAACATTAATAAACGGATCCAGGACATCTTCTCTTTCTAATAAGAATCTCTCCTTGATTAAACAACTGTCTGCATTCTTTATCAAGCATTCGATTATTTTCTGTCCAAAGTAGTAAACTAGAAAGTCAAATATTTTATCATGTAAGGCTTTATAATAATTTTCACCTTGCCCTATGACATTTCCTTGTACCTTCCTAATAAATGTTTGTGTAAATGAGTCAAGTTCATCCCGTATAACCAACAGAGAAGTTCCTCTGTCCAGTTTACATGCCTGACATGTGTTCTCGATGATTTGTTTGGTTTCTGCATCCACATCTTTTGTCAACATTTCTTCTTTCAATTGATTGTTAAACACAACACATAAAGCTAAAGCACAATATTTAGTGTATAGCCCAATCTGAAACAACTTGTCAATTTCTGCTTCATAAACTGAAAATGGTTTCTGAAATAAATTTGCTACATCAAAATTGGGATTATCATGGAACATTTTACATAAAAGTGGAAAACAATCATATAAATCATAATAGTCGGCAATCTCAGGGGCTTTTGATTTCATATATAGCTCTGCTATTGACTGTTTTTCAGTGTTTGACAAACGTATTTCCACTGACAACAGGTTACATGCACATGACTTGAAAATTGATAAAATACAAAATTTTTGATCCTGAAAGACTTGTAAGCGACATGCTGCAATTATTTTTGTTTGTTTGTTTTCAAGAATTTCTGTTATACGCACAATCAGTGGATCCCAGCTTTTAATGTCACTTAAATCAACAGAAAAGTTTCCACATAAATCATCAATAACAAACAATGTTTTCTTATTTGGATTGTAAAACTTAATAATGTCAACTGGATCAGAAACAAGAAGAACATCATATTCATTTGACATTTTTAAAGCGACGTGTCGTAATGTTGCTGTCTTCCCTGCACCAGAACTTGCAGTAATAGTTACACAACTATTCTCCTTTATACATTTCAGTACGTGCTTGGCGGCTTCAGTGATTATAAACATCTGGTCATTATTCTTCCAGTCTTCAACTATTTTGTTGATTTGTTCTGAAATATAAAATATGATTAGTCATATTCGATTATTATTTTCTACCTTTCAGTTTGTAGTTGTTAGGAAATTGCTGCATTTGTGGTTGTTCTACCTGAATGATATTGTCAAGTCGTAAGCTACTGTACTGCATCGTTAGACAACTCCAAAATGCCATGGTCAGTAGACACAGTATTATACTTTACAAAATAATGTGTTGGATACATTAATAGGGCACCATCATTTGTTTACATATACTGTGCATAACACATTATTGTGTCAAGCATAATACAGTATGCTCGTAATATCGAAATTGTGTAGTTATCTTAACAATGAGCTAATTGAGGATAATAATTATCGCTTGTGTATAGTCAGTTTTGATTAAGTATACCAAGCACTTGGGGCCTCAGTAGCAATTTATTTTAGTAATTCATCGACTATGTCACTAGCCTTTTAAAACTGAAGTTGTGAGGTCAAACTTGCATATGGCAGGTGCGTTCCATCCCATCATTCATTGATTAGGATAGTCAGTATTCCTGCCGAAGGTTGGTGATTCCCTCTTAGCACTCCGGCTTCCTACACCCATAAAAACTGACCACCAAGATATAGCTAATATGTTAAAAGTGGCGTTAAACGTCAAAATTAGTCAATCATTACATGCGCAAAATGTCACATAGGAATGATTTGTTTTTCAGAAGGCAGAAAACCTTAATACTTTATATATTGTATGTATTTGGCATATGTTCTTTAATTTCAGTCAGACATATTCTTTGACCTAATACTTATGTTTCGATGGTTTTAAAACACAATTGTTAGCTATCACTTGATTTTTTTACTTATTATAAGTAATTGGAAAATAGTAAATGGTTTGGCATTATTTCAAGGTTTACATATCTGTTAGACCCTATTTACCAGAGCTTGTCCTCATTTCATAGTTCAGTGAGCACAGTAAGTTCTCGTTGTTATGTCCATTTCTTATATACTTTCAGTAATGGATCATGTATATTCGGCGTATTGATTGTACTTGGTAACACTTCAGAATAAGTTCAATCAAATGATCAATAAAGGAGTAGTTTCGATAAAGCCCTTAAATGGCCCTTATTTGTAGCTAAAATTTCAAATTTGGATTTATTGATCAAATTTACAGTGAATCATAGTTAAAACAAAAACTAGATTGGAAATATACCTTTCTGTGAAAATTAACGTATTATCGTTCTTTTCACGAAGTCACAAATAGCACACACTTTGATTTTTTACGAAAATTAAAAAAAAAACAGGTAAATTTCTATCAATTTTTTGGACTGGAAACATAGAGCGCATGCGTCGACAAGAAAGATCTTTAAGCATACTGTTTGTTATAATATTTTACATACCTGAATTAAATAATTTGTATTTCGAAGCCTGCGCTCTATTTTTCCTAGGCCTAAATTTGGTAGAAATCCAGACGATTTTGTTAATTTCATCAAAATATCTACTCCTGGCCAATTTGGTTTGTAATTATTAACGTTTATAAGAAAAGCTGCACACAAATAGTTCTATTTCACTTACTAGTGTGTCTTTTCATTAGCTTGAAACATATGTTATCTTCATACTATGGACTAAATTTTCGGCGGCCCTTACTGAACTAACTCCTTTACATTGAACGTATCTATATTCACCGTATTGCCTGTATAAACAACATCAATTTAATCAAAGAGCTTAATAACTCTCAGGAGAAGAGAAGATACGTAAATTGGATAACTTGAACTACCATAAATATTGGACATTAAACATATTTAACCATCATACAAACTGAAAAAATAAAGGTAACAGTAGTATACCGCTGTTCAAAAGTCATAAATCGATTGAGAGAAAACAAATTCCGGTTACAAACTTAAACCGAGGGAAGCACATCAACTATAAGAGGAAAACGAAGGAACAACAGAAACACTGAGGTGCAACAACAACAAACGCCAACAGATATGAACCCAGAGCAACACAAATCTCACTAAACATTGATTGTAGTTGCTCCGGAAAGAGTAAGCATATCTCGTCGTGTTGCTCCTGTAAGTACAAACCCGGTGATGATTCTAAATCAATATGTTACATTCGAAGAAAATAGGACGGGATTGTGGTTACGACAATTGGAACATATCCCTCGTCATATGAGAAACAGATATTCCTCATGGTCATCCAACTTCAATAAAGAGTTGTTTGAAAATTTCGGTCAAATTTACTCATATCTTATTGTGCTCAACATTTTCCTGTCAGAAAAACTGAAATGGATAAACATCAACTTTTAAGGGCTATCATCTCCTTTGACAACTGAATTGCCGGTGTAAACAATTTCGATTTCCTCGGGATTCATCCCATTAGAAAAAGCCTATCACTTGTCAATTGCATTATCTTGTTCATGATTGCTGATAATCATTCATGTTTACAGTTTCTGTCTATCGTTTAAAGTTTTGTAAATAAAATTTGAAAATGCTAAATTTTGTAAAACAAATCTTTATTTTAAAGCAATAGTTCTAAGAAGAAGTCATCTAAAGGTTTTGGTCATATCAGCATATTCGTATAAATTGCATTTGCTGATCATTTGTTTAGCTATCCTTTTTGAGTTTTTTTTAATAATAAGTTAATAACATGATTAAGGATAAAGTCATAATTTAAGGACAATAATCATCCAGTTGTGAAGGTCATACGAACATTTTTGAAGATCTAATATTCAGCTTATCCTTTTTTCTGTCTTTGATTTCTACATGCAGACTCTGAACATTTTAGCATCTTAAAATTTTCCTTATCTATGATTTTTACCATTAAAAGAGGCATTGCCTATCAAATTCATGTTCATCGATTTTACTCAAATTTTCACATTTGATTGAATCGTACTAAAACGTATATACAAATTATAAAAAGTCCCAAAGAAACAATTAGCAATGTATGGACTCGTTATAATGTATCATCATTGTGTGTGTATTCTATGCTTCTCATCAACAATCGGGATAACCTCCGAAGAATGTCGATGGTTTACGACCCGATGTAAACAAAATAGAAATACACAGACTGGCACGTGCAATCGTATAATGACGATTTGTCTAGGTTTGATTGATTTAAACTGATGGATAAAGAAAACTGTATGATTGCTTTTACCTATATTAAAATGATTTTGATGTCGAACCAGTCAACGAGATGTTCAAATGAGGGTGAAATAGTGACTTGCAAGTTGATAATACATCAGCGATGTCTTTGAGCTTATATTTACAAAATTTTATCAAACTGACTGCTAATAGCGAAATATTTTTTTTCTAAATTCGGCTATAATAAATGTTCAAAACAAAAATAATGTATTCATTTGTTTGTCTAAATCGTTGGTTACGCACCTCTTAGGCAATTATTGCAGTTAATCTTTATATTACATGTTTAGCCATGGCGGCTATGTTGGTTGAATGGCACTTTATACTGAATACCCCAAGAATCATTCATCCAAACAAAAAAATGGTTGGAATTGATCAATTGATTTCAAAGATTTTTTACCACAACAACACGTACTGCTGTAAGGAACTCGTGTTGCACATAGGGCCCGGTGTGCTAAAAATAGAATTGTGCTTTGGCGAATAAAAAATTAAATGCAGAAAAGCCTCTTGAATTTTCGAGAATTATTTATTAAATCATTTGTAGTTTTAGGTCCCACAAGAGATATAGTCGAGTTTTTGATTTTGTTAGGTTTTATGGATTTCTTGCTTTATTAATTTACTTTGAAGCTCGTTATTTTTGTTAAAACTTTTTTAATATAGAAGACTAACTTATACCTTGTGATAGATAGGTTTGAACACCTTACGTAAGATGTATTGCTTTACAGTTAAAACAAAACTTACGGTCCTACAGCCTTTGGATTTTATGTACCTTAATCTAAGCATTGCAAAAGGTAAGCATTTTCTTAGACTGATCTAAACTAATACGTCTTTACTTCATGGATGTTTACTGATTTATACATAAGTCTCGCATAATTTAATTTATCCAGTAGTTGTTATTGGCTTTGAACCAGCTTTCAGAAACTATGAGTGCTCTTAGATCGGTACTTTTTATCTAGTGTCTTTGTTATAAACATAAGGAGATGTGATATGATTGCCAATAAGACAACTATCCACAAGAGTTCAAATGACGAATATAAAAGCAATGATGATCGCTCATAAACATGTTTAACCTTGTCATATTCTAAACGTAGCTGTCCAAAGTCAGGGGCCTGCAATTCTGTGGTTATCGTTAGTTGCTGTGTCTAAGTCGAAAGGGTGAGCCTGCTGGCGGCGGCGTCACCAATGTATAAAATAAAGGCAACAGTAGTATACCGCTGTTCTTAGTTTGTTATTAGGTCAGATTAAAGGAAATCATTAGTGGTAAGTCAATGATGTTTGTAATTCAGTTGTATAAGCATTTGCAAGCTCGTTTCCATGAAGATTATATGGCCCATCCTATCATCAAAGTTCATTGACTTTAAAACTTTCGCATAATTGAAAAGTTAAAAGTTGTGTTTATGTAAGTTTAAAGGGAAAAGAGAACCACTTATGATAAGTCGATGGTATTTGGTATGCAGTTTTATACATTTCTCATTTCCATGGAGGTTATCTTGCCCTGCACCTTCAGTAATGGTTCATTGACTTTGATTGTTTTGCATAGTTTACACGTTTAAATGTTGCCATTCTAATTTCAACATTTGCATTTTACTACCAAAATTCAAAATAGCGAAACACATCTCTGTCTCAACAGTTTTTTAGTTTATTATTTTGTCATAAATCAGGCCATTGGATTTAAATTTGAAATATTTCACAATTTGACATATCGCGGCCTTTTATAGCTGACTTTGCTGTATGTGTTTTGCTCATTGTTGAATGTCGTATTGTAAATTATAAGTGTTTAAATCCATATAATTTGGACTCTTGTGGATAGTTGTATCATTAGTTATCACTACTCATCTCCTTATATTATACTGATTAAGGGGAATTTCATCTCATAGTGTTTTCTGCGTTCATTACTATAAGTTATATAGTTGGCAATGGACCCCTTTCGGATCAATAGAGGGTTAGTAAAATTCATACGGGGTGATGCCGAAGGTAATTAATTAAATAACTTCATACAATGGTATAACATATTTCAGATGGATATCCCCCAAAAGAATCATGATTTAATGGCATTTCCTACGCTTAATGGCTAAAATAAGGTCGAAAGTTGGTCAAACAAAATCTCATTCAAGTGATCGAAAAATTAATCCTTTTTAAAAATTAACCTACAAAAAAAAAACAAGAAAACAAATGAGAAACAAAAACGATTCCAATTGATCATAAACTTTCATGATACATCAATGTTTCTTGTTGGAGAATCTTAGCACACAACCTAACCATTCAATGATAATCAAAATTATTCCAAGAAGTCGGTTTCAATCTTCCTGCATCACATTTTTAGATTGAAATAAAAGAAAGAGAATACATGTGTCCCCACTGTTTACCTCTAACATTCCATGGTACTGTATCCTTCTGAGAGGTTTTTATCTCTTGAAGTTCTTTTGTAACATTTGCATGATCTTCTTGTAATAATTCGTGGGACTTCTTCATTTCAGTATGTGACAGCTTCATACTTTCAAAAGATTCGTTCAGCTCCCTGATTTCATCATTAGACCGTTTAATATCAAGCATTATTTCTTGATTGGTCTGATCTAAAGTTTTGGTTTTCAGATGATCACACTCCTTCTTCATTTCCTGTCCGCCTAATCTATCAATGGCCTGTAAGTTGAATATATGAATATACTATAAATTGTTTCTAATACACTTAAATTGTGTGACCCAAAGGTAAAAAGTGACAGTTTAGCAATTGAAGCATTTTTCATTGTTATATTCATATACTAGTAACATCAGCATTTACATAAGAAAGGAATAATATTAATAACATGTCTGTGAATTGATTTTCGTAACAAAGCAAATACATGTTTAAGATTGATGTAGTAATAAAAATATAAATAAACACCCATGCAACATCCTTTTCCATATTGCCTGACAGGACCCTTTTATAAAACACCCATGCAACCACACAGCCAACATTACCTGTTATGACCTGCTTTAAAACACACTCGTAACCACGTATCCCAATTTGCATAAGAGAACACTTTTTCAAACACCCATGAAATAACATCCCATATTGCCTGATAAGACCCTTTCATAAAACACCAATGCAACCCAGCATCTAATTTTGCCTGATAGGACTTTTTATTAAACGCTCATACAACCAAGCCATCTATGCAGCCGAACATTCTATACTGTCTGATAGGACCATGGTATAAAACACTCATGTAACCATTCATCACATTTTGATTGATAGGATCATTTTATAAAACAGCCATGCAACCTTGCATCCGTTATAGCCTGATGGTGCAAATAAATTTGGATTTTCCTAATATTGAACATAAGGAGATGTCACTCTAACCAAAGCACAACGGAACCATTTAAACATCTATCTTCATTCTCCTAAGAGCCCGAATCTATCACCTGTCTAAAATATCATGTGTATTATTAATCATTTTTGCTGTTACAAATTTTGCGTATCTATCCCTTATGGAACTGAATTGTTTGCCGCAAACTTGCAGCAGACTTGCTGCAAGCTTGCGGCAAACAAAACGTTTGCAGGAACACAGAAAATAATGTTTGCAGATGTTGGCCGCTAGCTGCAAACTTCCGGCAAACATTGCAGCTTTTTGCTGCAAGCTTGCGGCAAATTTGCAGAAACATCAATGTTTGCCGTAAGATTGCCAGAAAGTTAAGAATAATAAAGAATGTTTGCCGCAAGATTGCAGAAAACTTTGACCATTCTATATGTTTGCCGCAAGATTGCAGAAAACTTTGACCATTCTATATGTTTGCCAGAACATTGCAAGAATTACACAATATTGACTGGGCATGCCTAGTTGGCACTTCCTGGAAGCTAACAACTTGAAATTGTGGCTAGGTCATGTTGATTGTGTTTGGAAAATGCATTTCACATATAACAGATCAAAGAGGCATTTTGGTTCAATAATATAGGATATTTAATATGTAATTTTGTAAGTACAAATAATTCATAGAACTGCATGTTTTAATAAAATAATTAATGTCACCATCATACATAATTAAGTAAGCATGCAACTATATAATATAATATATATGTGTGTTCGAAAAAACATTAGCTATTATAAGTTTGAATTTTGTAACTGATGTACTGTACCATGTTTATTAAAATTAAGTTCAATTTTGTTATGCAATTATAACCTAGCTTTATACCCAATACACATTTGAGATTTATCCTTTTTCATTTCTTACTACAGGTATATGATGTCATTTGAGAATGACCCCTGCCCCCTTTTTCAAAACTCAAATGCATGTATGTATTTCCTTAAATCTTTAAGTTTGCAAGAATTCTTTCAATGACTGTTTGTATACAGGCAGGAATTCTTTTAAAAAATGTTGCTGTGTAATTTGACGAGATAAATTAAATGTGTCTACACACATGACATTGGTATATGTGTAGTTCCTGCAAGTTTGCCGCAAGTTTGCAACAAACAATTGCCGCAAGCTTGCGGCAAATCTAATTTGCATAATTATGTTTGCAGCAAGCTTGCCGCAACCTTCATTTGCATGGTAAAATGGTTGCGGCAAGTTTGCAGCAAATGTTTGCTGCAAGCTTGCGGCAATGTTTGCTGCAAACTTGCGGCAAATGTTTGCCGCAGGGCTTATTTTTCGGTAAGGGATTATATTTTAAGCGACAATAGACTGAAAATTAGTAAATAATCATCTTTTAGGGCAACTAATTCTATGATTCATCCAATTGTTTCGATCATATAGGTCCTTTTGAAGATCCTTAATTGCTGATCGTTTTTTTGTGGATTACAGTTTTAGTTAGGGATATCAACGACAACTCGAATACTGGAGCTTAGTCTGACGTTTGATTTTTTCAGGTTTTATGGACTTCCCCTTTTGAAATTTTCTTGAATTCGATATTTTTGTTGATTTTGTTTTCTTCAGTAATTCAAAGTATCGAATATGAAAATGTACTACAGTAATCGGTTTCCTGTTAGGGCATTGGTTTCTTTTTTTAATGTGTTTTCTTCATAACACCCATCGAAAAATTAAACTGATAAATCATCGTAAAAACTACGTTTCGTATGTTTGTGCAAAAGTTTCATTGAAAATGCCTCCAACATCTTCCCTTCGGACATTCTAACGAAGTTTTGAGATATATTCTAGAGGTTGTCTACACATGGAAGCAGCTTTCCTATGACTTAACTTTTGGCTAAACATGTCATATTGAACTTGTGTGTCTTTTTGTCGTCTTTCGTTTTTTGCCATGCCGTTGTCAGATTTTTTTGAATAATGAGTTTTGAATGTCACTTAGATATCTTTGTGCACTTTATATATGCACGACAGTTAAAAACGAACTGAAAAAAACGACTCTTCCCTAGAATAATTGACATGATAATATTTCTTAATGAAAACAAAATTGGTCTCACGTTAAGCTCGAGACTCTCTTGTGATTCTCAGTGCATTGTTAAATGCATCAGTGACTTCAATCATCTGGCCTTTGAAAATGTGTTTTTTTTACGATCACATAATTTAACTGTTGTTTGATCAGAATTTGTATTCATTACATGGATCTTGTCTATATACCAGCTTTGATTATTTGGTATTTAATTACTACAAATTTTCACTTCTTCGTACTATGAACATCAAAATTATTTCATTTTTCCTTAGATGCTATTCTTGGACCTGTACAGGAAGTTTTATCTAGCACTAATTGTATATTTTTATTGTTGATATTCACCCCATATGTACCAAGTGTTAGATTAGTTTTATTGATATTAAAGAAATTTCTTGGTATTCCTAAACGGAAGATTTTATACACACAGAAGAAGAAGTATACATAACAACAAAATTATTTTCATTAACCTGTGTATAATATGACGCAGGTTTCTTCAAAAGTGATGATTTTCTATAAATTGTTTGAAATTTCACAGTGATAACATACTCTAACTTTGTTTAAACCTGTTTATTTACTTTTGACTTTAATTATTTATCCCTTGTAATTTTTTATTAACTGTGTATTTGCATTCAGGTGTCACAGGTCAAATTTATTCGTTCATTGTGTGTTAATTTACGTTTTTTGATTGAGTAAAGCCTTCCAATTGATATTTTATAGTGTGTTTGTCTATGTTGTGATGTTATACTATTGTTTCAGAAAAGGGAGACTGTTTGGTACCATTAAAACGTTTAATCCCGCTGCAAATGTTTACCCCTGTCCTAAGTCAGGAATCTGATTACAGTAGTTGTCGTCTGTTTATGTAGTTCATACGTGTTTCTCGTTTCTCGTTTTTATATAGATTAGACCGTTGGTTTTTCCGTTTGAATGGTTTTACACTAGTAATTTTCTGGGGCCCTTTATAGCTTGCTGTTCGGTGTGAGCCAATGCTCCGTGTTGAAGGCCGTACCTTGACCTATAATGGTTTACTTTTATAAATTGTAACTTGGATGGAGAGTTGTCTAATTGGCACTCATACCACATCTTCCTATATCTATTGGATAATTGTATTAAAATTATTGTTAAATTAATTTGGATTGTGATTAATGAGCTTTAAATTATGAAATATATTTTCTGGGACTATAATCTAGTCCCAGATAATAATGCAGAGGGGTTAAAACCCCTTGAGATAAAGAACCACAAAACCAACCAGTAATTAATTCGTCACATAGTTGATATCCCTAGTTTCTGCTGATCTATTATAGTTTTGAGATAAGAGACAAAACTTACAAATAGGTCAAAATTGACATTTCAGGAGTCATCCAGTGGTTTTATTCATATTGACATTTTTTAAGATTTTTTTTTTTTTTTTTTGGCTTTAATTTTTTTCTTTTTAGAGTTTATAATAAATTTCGAGATAATAGGCAGAAACTTGAAAAACTAGTAAAAATAATTTCAAAAAGCAGTCATCAGATAGTTTCAGTCATACCAGTATTTTGGTATAATTTATTGCTGATCAAAATTGCCGTTTCTAATAGTTTTCAAGGTAATAGGCAAACACTCGAAATTGGAAAACAAAATCATCTTTTAAAGAGCATGAATCTTTAAAGGAGATATCTGATAATTTTGATGGAAATGGGTAGCAGTTAGATCTTGACAACTGAGCATTTATATACTTTTTCATATTTTCCCTCTTATGATTTGCAAAATATTAATGAAATAATGCATTTTACCCTTATATACTATGTATAGCTATTGTGGTCATCTTGACAGGAACAATAAACACAGTTTTAATATTTGATACCCTAAGGATCATTCAGTTCAAGTTTGCTTGCTTGAAATTGGTCTAGTGGTAATGGCTTTAATCGATCCTAAGAAAGAGAAGGTATGATTTAGGGCTTAATTGGCGCATACAATAAAATGTCATGTTATCAAAAATAATAAATGTTTGAATTGTTCCCAATGATATGATTGATCAAAATAGTTTAACTCAGATGTAAACAATACACTTTTCAAATAATCTAAATATCTAACAGAGCATTCTTCTATAACTTTTAACAATGATTTTTCAAAATATTTATTGAAAATCAGTCGTAGCATAGAAGGTATGACTTGGCCCCTTTAAATGAAAACTCAAAACGTATCATAAAACAATTCTTTGGATTTTTACAAGAAATCAATAGATATCAGTATCCATACTTTTCTTTATTTTGCCATGTTTTTTTTTCAATTATAAAAGAAACAATTAATGTTGTACTTTCCAACACTTTATCATATTTATCATGAGTATGCCAATAACGCTTGGCAGCTATCCAATCTACATATTTTACAATTGATCATTACCCTACGATTGAATTCAACATAAGAAAGAAGACATCCTAAAGACCAAACACCCAGTATGATAAAAAAGATATAGCGTGAGAATTGTTCTGTTTGGCCAGAAATATGATGTATCCCAAACACATATTTTCACCAATTTGTTTTTAAAAGGCAGGAATTACCAAAGCAAAAGAGTCAAAAAAACAAAACCTAACATAATGACAAAAACAAAGCTAAAAAAAAACAACCTACAAAACATAAGCATGACCATAAAGTTAAATGTTATTTTTAGAAAATTTAAAAAAAAAATAAACAGAGATAAGAACAGTAAGCCTTACTATATGTTATAACACCCTGCATAGTATCAAATGTTCAATCATGAAAACTGTAGGAGTAAGTAGTACCCAATGTTTGGATAAAGGGGGGATGAATATAATTGAATAGCACTACATACATTGGTGATATCGTTCCAATAAGTATTGAAGATCACAGAGTCTAATTTCGCATCGTTCAGGTGAGCTATGTAGTTTCTGTAGTATTTGATTCTAGCTAAATCTGCTGCAGGTGTGGTTTCAATGTTAGAAGGTAAACAGTCAAATTCACGAAGAGGAGGGGAAAGTGTGGTCAAATTTCTCAGTAATGCTATCATTAAAGTGATATCAAATGTTTTAGAATCTGGAACATCTACAAATAATAAAACATGATATAGATAGGCATTGATAAAGAATAAAAATCGAATCTGGAATATCTAAAAATAAAAGCAAGAGACAGTGCAGAAAGTCAAAAGGCAACAACCATGATGTGTTGTACAAAAAGAAAACAAACTATCATTGTATAATTATCTTTTATAATCTTTTGTCATAATTTAAATGACATTTATTAACTGTATGATCATCAGTCAACATTATAAAATTCGAAAGAAACAGACATGACAGCCTAGAGTCTTATCAAATGACTAAGACTCTTCATTGATTGTTTATTTGCAACCCTGTCAATTTCTTAATGCTTTTGAAAATTGTGTGCTTGACATGAATTTGTAAACTTTTATCAGTTGACAATTTTTTTCTTCTAAATATACATATTTGTTTAGATCATACAGTTATTTTCCCAATGCAGAGCTGATTTGCTTGGTTTATGTATCGTTACAGTTTTGGTGTTCCTTTTATTTTTCCTGATTTTAATTTTTGTATTGGAGGACCAACAATGGGAGATGCTAAGCGAACAATATCTTTTATCACTATACTTATGATATGTTAAAGGTCATATGTATCTGCATATGTACATTTCAAGAATTAACATAGAAAATATATATAAAATTAAAATTGAGGATGAAAACGGGGAATGTGTCAAAAAGACAACAACCCGACCGAAAACCAGAAAACAGCCGAAGGCCACCAATGGGTCTTCAACACAGCGAGAAAATTCTGCACCCGGAGACTGTTAGTCTTGTGCCATGATCTATTATGCATAGATAATGGAATACACATAATCAAAAAACCTAAATGACTACTTAAAAAGAAGACCAGACCAAATGACATATAAGCCAGACTAACATGAATGCATAAAAAAAATATATTATCCTAGGAGTTGATCATAGTTTTGGTAGAAAACATATGATTCTACCACTGCATCGAGTATATATCGAGTTTGATATATGATATTTTGACCAAGGAAGAAAGATATCAAACGAACCACACATTGATAACCTATCCTTAAAATAAGGGTTTCCTCATGGTAAGTAAAAGTAGTTTGAGATAGGAGGTTCTGTTGTAATTGGTCAATACTATTTCCATTGTACCAACAAGAGGCTCATCTGTGCCTGAATCAATCACCTAGTGAATTCTGCTTGTATGGACCTTTTATTGCTGATGTTAGATTTTTTTAGCTGCTGATTAAATTTGCAATTTAAACGCTACTGTAATTTATTTTGGTTACATCCAAAAACTGGATAAAACTATTAAAATAGCAATATCAGGGGCAAAAATCTAGTTTTTAAAGATTTTAAACCTAGCTGTTTAGATATTCAAAATAACAGCCAAACACATGCACAATTTGTCATCTTTTCAGTGGCAAAAACTCTAAAACAGGTCAATAGGTTTTTCTGAAATTTTTCCCTACTTATTCTTCTATGGTTTCTATACATGTATTTCTTTTGTTCTATATTACCCAAAAACATTAGTTCCACCAATTTTAGCAATGGTAGCCATGTTGGTTGATCAACCTGAACAAACATCACAAACTTTACAGTTAACATCCTACAGATGAAGCAGAATACCTTGGTGTCAATCACTTGAACAGTTCCACTTAAGAAGATTTTTATTGTTCATTTACGGACAACCGACAGCTGAGTGACAAACAAGGAAAAGCAGACGGTCGACAGACACAAAGTGACGGTAATAGCTCACATTGCCTGTGTTGCACCGTAAGTTCAAAAATTAGAAAGTTTCACTGTGACTAGCATATTATACAATAAAACCTGTAAACAGAATCATTACAGGACTGAATATTTAGTACAGATTGCTGTCATAGATAAAAAAAAGTTTACTTTTCACACAGAACTTCAATTTACTCATTAATTGGTTAATACAGATTGTGATTGAAATTGAAGTGACCAATCAAAAACGAGGCTTTGCACTTACCAGGAAAACGAGGGAACAGGAGTTTCCATTGTGCTTTATTTATAACTTTTTTCATTTTCAAGTCCATCAGTTTGTTGTATGCTTTCTTTAAAGATGAGTCCAAACATGATTGGTGGAATTCACGATCAAACAAGGCTCTAGCTGCACGTGGAGAAATACCTGTCAGCAATAAACTCATTCTTACATAGTTTTCTTCCTCTGTAGAAAGAGACGCCATCTTGTTGATTTTTGTATCCTTTATACAGAAATGCAGATTGTTTGCATCACAAGACAAGACAAAGGAATGTCATAGCAAATGTAGTTAGTTGGGAAACTTTTTGTTTATTTTGTGTCGATATGCAGAAGGATATATCACCCTTTGGAAGTCTGACGTTGATATCTCAAATCAAATGTCCAATATTTTCTGTAAAAAAGTAACACATGTTTTTAGGACTATTAAAAAGTATATGAAAAATAACTCCAAGGTAAATTCAAAAGATTGAAACTCCATCAAAACTGACAAAATCGACACTATCAAAATCCATCCTTTCACCAAGTTAATCAATTAGCAAAGGACTCAAAACTTTAAAACTGAATTTTAGTCTATTTATACATGGAAATATGAATGAAAAGTATTAAGTTCCTGCGACTTGAACTTTGATATCAAACTAAAAGTCAAGAAAAGTTTTTGTTTTCTAGAATTTCCTTCACTTACATATCATTTCATTCCCTTTGCACAATTTGGAATCTGAATGAGAATAAATTTATTGCTGTAGGAAACTGTACAAGATGTAAAAATTAACTTAAAGGAGAATGAAGAAATATATTTAAAACCTCGTCAAAGTTATTTTAAAGTAATTTATTCATATTGGTGTCTTTAACTGAAAATTTATTTTGCATAATATATGTTCCACATGCAATAAAAATGGTATATAACAAAAATTCTTGAAAACTAATGTAATATAATATTTAATCCTTCTTCATAAAACAGTTTCCTGGATCATGAAGCCCAATAAAATCTGTTCCTAGCTAGGATGACCGGAAATTATACAAAAGACTAATGGCCATTGTTATATTATAGTTCGTTTCTGTGTGTGTTGAATTTTAGTGTTGTGTTTCTGTTGTGTCGTTGTTCTCCTCTTATATTTGATGTGTTTCCCTCAGTTTTAGTTTGTAACCCGGATTTGTTTTTATCTCTATCGATTTATGAGTTTCGAACAGCGGTATACTACTGTTGCCTTTATTTACAGAGTTGAAAACTTGAGACGATTTCTTATATATTTAATATTTCCAAGGGGTATAACTCATTGAAATATTTGATTGGCAATTATTTTCGAAATTGTTCATGACATTGGTGATATTAACCTTTGATATGAATTTGATAAAAATCTGGCAGAAATTGTACATGTGAGAGCGCTTACAATGCAAATTTCCATATAATTAATATTTCTAATGGGCAGAAATCTTTTAAAAATAATTGATCGGCACTGATTTTCACACTCGTCTGGGACATTGCTGATATAAACCTACCTTATAAGTTTCTTCATAATCTGGCTAGAATTGTATAAATGAGAGAGTTAATGCTGCAATTTTCCATATTATTAATATGTCTAAGAGCCATAACTCTTTTAAAAATTATTGATCGGCACTGATTTTCGAACTCGGCCAAGACATTGCTAATACGAAACTACAATATAACTTACATAAAAATCTGGCTAGAATTGTACATATGAGAGCGCTAAAAATGCAATTCTCCATATCATTAATATTTCTAAGGGCCATAACTCTTTTGAAAATTAATAATCGGCACTGATTTTTTGAACTCGTCCGAGACATTGCTGATATAAACCTACGATATAAGTTTCATAAAAATCTGGCAAGAATTTTACACATGAGAGCGCTCACGGTGCAATTGTCCATATAATGAATGTTTCCAAGGGGCATAACTCTTTTAACAATAGTTCATCGGAACTGATTTTCAAACTCGTTCAATAGATATAAGAAGATGTGGTATGAGTGCCAATGAGACAACTCTCCATCCAAGTCACAATTTGTAAAAGTAAACCATTATAGGTCAAAGTACGGCCTTGAACACGGCTCATACCGAACAGCGAGCTATAAAGGGCCCCAAAAATGACTATTGTAAAACCATTCAAACAGGAAAATCAACGTTATAATCTATATAAAAAACGAGAAACGAGAAACATTTATGAACCACATCAACAAACGACAACCACTGACTGTTTCCTGACTTAGGACAGGTGCAAGACCATGCTGATATAAACCTATGATATAAGTTTTATAAAAATCTGGCAAGAATTGATCAAAAGAGAGCGCTAACCAGACCGGACGGACGCAATATGTTTTGAAATGATTGATCGATTGATTGTTGGTTGCTTTGAAATGAGTATTGTCACTAACATAAATGGTTGCAATTGAACAATCAAATTGTACAAAATTTTGATATTCCTATGTATTGTATCTCTCAAAGAGTTATGTGAATCCATATCTGTTACTAAAGTTCCAGCATAATATTTATTCCAAAGAATTTTACTATGTAACAAAAGTTCCGATTGGAAAAATCACTTAGTTTATAGTAAATATACTCTGTACAACAACAACAAAAATCACTTAGTTTAAAGTAAATATACTCTGTACAACAAACGTTTATTACTTAAAATTCCAATACAATGCACAGAATATTATACCTGGAATACTTTGACGTCATAAAATTAGTTCATACATGTATAAACACTTTGGTTGCTCATCAAAGGAAGGAGACTTAACGTATAAAAATGAAAACAACTCGTAATAAATTTCCTACCTCCGAGGCGCTTTTCTGGATTTACGTTCACCAGGAACGCTCAATGCCGAATATTTGAAAGCCAAGGTTGTATAAGATCCCAAACAGTTGAAGAGCTATATATCACTAAAAAGGACATAAAAAAAATGACTAAATCCATCTAAGGTCAACTTTGCCTCATAGAGTTGAAACCTTAGTTTTGATAATAATTTACGACATCAAGATTATTTGAATTTATCAAAAAATATTGATGAACCAAAGTTATTGGGCGCATCAATCTCCAAAATGCACCTCAATCCTATAGTATACATGTATATATATACAAGAGTGCACACACTGAAATGTCTCGCCTTCTTTACTAACCATTGATTTTATGTTGATAGTCCTAAATATAAAGCTTTACTACAAGTAACACATAAACTTAACATGATCCAAGAAAATGAGGTCAAGGTCAGATAAACCAAACAAGAAATACATGTACACCTTACAATCATTCAATAAACCAAACATAGTTGACCTATTGCTTATAGTTTCTAAGAAACAATCTTAACCAAGAAAACTAAATATTGACCAATGAACCATGAAAATGAGGTCAAGGTAAGATGATACCTGCCAGACAGACATATACACCTTACAATCCTTCCAAACAACAAATATAGTTGATCTATTGCTTATAGTTGAAGAAAAACAGACCAAAACACAAAAACTAAACACTGAGAAATGAACCGCGGAAATGAGGTCAAGGTCAAATAAAACCTGCGAGACTGACATGTACATCATAAAATATTTCCATACACCAAATATATTTGACCTATTGCATATAGTATTAGAAAAAAAGACCAAAACTCAAAAACTTAACTTTGACGACTGAACCATCAAAATGAGGTCAAGGTCAGATGACACCTACCAGTTGGACATGTACACCTTTCAATCATTCCATATACCAAATATAGTAGACCTACTGCTTATAGTATCTGATATATGGACTTGACCACGAAAACTTAACCTTGTTCACTGATCCATGAAATGAGGTCGAGGTCAAATGAAAATTGTCTGACGAGCATGAGGACCTTGCAAGGTACGCACATACTAAATATAGTTATCCTATTACTCATAATAAGAAAGAAATTAACATTACAAAAAATGTTGACTTTTTTTTCAAGTAGTCACTGAACCATGAAAATGAGGTCAAGGACAATGGACATATGACAGACGGAAACTTCGTAACATAAGGCATCTATATACAAAGTATGAAGCATCCAGGTCTTCTAGCTTCTAAAATATAAAGCTTTTAAGAAGTTAGCTAACGCCGCCGCCGCTATTATGATTGCGTTGGATAAAAACCGCAATTTTTATACGTGTGCATGCAAAACAAATTTTTTGTTAGAGGGGTCTAAATACAGCACAAACAACATTTTCCAAAAGACCAAAAAATGTGAAAAAGTATATTTTAAACAAAACGCATTTGACTAACAGGTCGAACTACACATGTTCTTAAACCCTGCTGACTGCCATTGGCGATTGCCAAATAAACGGATCACCGATGTAATAAATGGATCTTAATTATCAATTTAATACTAAACAGAAAACAATAAACTTGCGGAAAAGATGGTATACCGCAAACCAAAGGTGCAAAGGTTTTTGTACACCATATCCGGATTTCGGCAATTAATGTCTCTTCAGTGATTTTAGTGTAGTCGCACTATCTGGGGCGTAAATAAATAGTAGACTATGTAGCGTTCTGGATAGTTTTTATTATCGAGAAGCATCAAATGAAACCCTGTAATATAATATCACATTTAATAGCAACGTATATATACTAATTCTTTTAAAACATGTTTTATATCAATTTGATAAATTGACGTAATCTGTGTACTTACAAAAATTAACCAATTGACTGTGAAATACGTCACAGTTAATGAAATTAACAAAATGCACAATTAAACCTTATCTTATCAAAGTATTACTTCCTGTGACATTCGAAACAGAATTTTCCGTGTCAAAAGAGCAAAATAGAAATATAGTTTCTCATTTAGCAATAACATTATAATATACGAATTAGCCGTTAAAACTATAAACAAACAGTCTAAGCAAAATAAGCATTAATAAAGCCAATAGCGAAAAGCAGTTAACTAATAAAGCTGAGCTAAGCTAAACAAAGCAAAATAACTAAGTTAATAAAATAATAAGCAACTACAACTGAAACACTCATTCTTACCTCGTATGAGGTACAAAGATTATGCCTCAACGTATTACTACATCATATGCAGAACTCTGTCATAAAACCTGTATAATTGATACTAAATTATAGTTACTATGCACAGATTTTTATAGTACTTAAAATCTATTAATCTGAGACAAAAATGTTATAAAGACTCTGAAAAGTATTTATCAAGTTAACATTTTACTCATTTACTCTCGGACTCATCCTGCTCAAATATTCGCCATTCGTTACGTTTATCTTTACACTTATTTATTTCCAGGCTTAAATTATGTAACTCAAATGTAAAATAATAATGTGCCTGTCATAAAAGTTACGTTAACCATTTAAATAATTTACAACATTCATTCACCAATCAAACGATACACATTCTTACTACGAAGTCATGCTAAAATGGAAA